ACCTACAGATCGAACCCCTGCTGCCTATGGTCCTACGACAGGCCTACCAACTGCCTACGAATACACAGGTCACAGGTTCAATTCTCGGGGTCTACACAGATACTGTACATGGGTAGGGTGAGGTCTGAGGATCGAACCCTGGCTACTGCATCCGCCACTGCTAAAAGGTGAAAACCGTTTCACTCCCGCCGTCCTAAATTCGAGGTCCTCCGAGAAAATTTCAGTCCAAGGCGGGACCTTTACCTTTCTTGTCACGCTCATAGGCTTTGACTATGTCGGGAGCCGTCTCTAGAAGTTCTGCTTTCGTGAACCAGCGGTCGTCTTCCGGTTCCTGATAGGCAAACCGGACTTTATACTGTTTCTGGGGACGACCTCTACCTCCAGTCCTAAACACATCCTCGTCTACAATGCCCTCTATGTCATAGCTTCCATCCGTATCCGGTGGGATCATGGATCTCCTGGAAGGGAACTGTTGACTAGTGACACACGGCAGCAGCTTTGAAGCATGAAACACAGGGTATGTGTGGAGGTGCGCTGGAATCTCAATGCTGTAGGACGGTCCATCCTCTCCGCCCTTGACTTCTAGAACCGGCCACGGTCCTCTATATGCAGGCAGTAACTTCTGCGAGATGTTTTCTTCCGGTGCAGACTCTTTTGCCTTGACCCAGACTAAGTCGCCTACCTGAAACTGCAATGGGCGTCGGTGCTTGTTAGCCTGTTCTATCATTCTGTGCTGGGCCTTCCGAAGGTTCTCAATAACAGTGGCTAACTCCCTTTCGTGCTGTATCGCAAACTCCCTGGCACCGGGCGGTAATCTGTGAATCTGATCCTGGTTCAGTCCTTCGAACGGTCTGCGCGGTCTAAAGGACTTGTGCAGCTCATTGGGAGTGCAGCAGGTGGATAGATGCACGCTGTTGTTGTATGCACTAGCTACCTTAGGCAACATCTCATCCCAGTTAATCTGATCTGGTCTAATGTACATGCGCAGAACTTGCTGTAGGATCTTGTTCATCTGTTCTGTCTGACCGTTAGTCTTTGGGTGACGGCCGGACGACATTAACAACTTAGATCCGTAGACTCTCATGAGTTCTTGCCAGTTCTGGCTGGTGAAACGACTGTCTCTATCACTAACTATTGACAATGGGATTCCATTCTCGCTAACCCAAAAGTCAAAGAACTTCTGTATCACTACGTTCGTACGGGACTTTGCAGGCAAAGGAACAAAAACTGCATACTTACTAAATCGGTCAACTATGATCATGACTTGGCTCTTACCATGTCTACTCTTGACTTGGGTGTCCATGAAGTCTATGGACACTCAGTCCCCCGACTGATCCGGAATAGGCAAGGGTCTGAGAAGACCTAGGGGCGCGCGTGTAGTAGACTTATTCCTCTGGCACACTTTACAACTGCGGACATACTCTATGCAGTCATTCTTCATCCCTAGCCAGGTATACGCACACATCAGGTTGGCTAATGTCTTTTGCCAACCGTGCCCTTCAGTATCGTGGCATTCCCCTAAAATCAAACTGCGGATCTCTTCGCTGTTGGGAATGCAAAGGCAGTCAAACACATTAGTCTTCTCAAACAACAACCCGTCTGTAGTGCGGTAATCTGGTTCAGTCTCTGGGGCCTCTCTAACTCTCTTTAGGAGGTCGCTATTGATAGGGTCCTGCGCATATGCTTGCCTCACTTTCTCCTGCAGGTCTCTCCCTATATCCAGATAGTGTACTACAGCTCCAAAGTAGTCTGATCTCCTACTCAGAGCATCCGCAACTACGTTGTACTTGCCCTTCACTGGCTTGAGCTCAAAGTCGAATTGGTCTATCTCTGCGGCCCACCTAGTCGACTTAGGTGTCATCTTGGCCTGAGTCTTTAACCATCTAAGTGTTTCGTGGTCCGAATACACTTTGAAGTGCCTCCCAAGCAGGTAGTGCTTCCAATGATCTAAGGCCTGCATGAGAGCGTAGAGTTCTCTCTCGTACGTGGAGGCAACAACCTTCTCACAGGGCATCCTCGCTGACATGAACTCTACGGGTCTATAGCCATTGTCGGCGTCTTGCTGCAACACGGCGCCTGTCCCATACTGACTCGCGTCCGTGGTGACGACAAATGGCAAAGACGGATCTGCAACTTTGATGACAGGATACTCTATTAACGCGCGCTTTAGCTTCTTGAGCGCAGACGTACAGTCTTTGTCCCATTGCAAGATTGCCTCTTTCTTCAACAATCGGCGCAAGGGAGCGGCAATAGTGGAGAAGTTCCTCACAAACTTCCTATAGTAGTTAGCTAAGCCTAGGAACGACCGCAACTCTGTCAATGTGTGGGGCGTCGGCCAATCTCTAATCGCCGCGATCTTGCTGTCCTCCAGCTTGATGCCATCTCCGTCTAATACGTGGCCCAAGTACAAAACTTGTGTCTTGGCCCACTCGCACTTCTTCGCATTGATCTTGAAGGTAGCCTCTCTAAGCTTCTCCAAGACCTGCCTCAGATGACCCTGATGCTCCTGGAGGGTCTTACTAAAAACTAGGATATCGTCTAGATAGACTACAACAAACTTATCTAACCATGGTCTAAACAGGTCATTCATACAACGCTGAAAAGTAGCTGGCGCGTTGGTTAGTCCAAAGGGCATCACTACAAACTCATAATGCCCATATCTAGTCCGGAATGCCGTCTTGTACTGATCATCAGGATGGACTTCTATCTTACGGTATCCGGACTTTAAGTCTATCGTAGAGAAATACTTACAACCCTGCACCCGATCTAAAAGATCGTCTATCCTGGGCAGCGGCTTAGCATTCTTCACGGTGATCGCATTCAAACCCCTATAGTCTATACACATTCTCAGCTCTCCTTCCTTCTTGGGGACAAACAAAACGGGTGCTCCAAAAGGAGACGAACTGGGCCTGATCCAACCTTTCTCAAGGAGTTCGTCTAACTGCTTGCGAAGCTCCTCTAACTCTCTAGGGGACATCCTGTAGACTGCACCCTTAGGAGTTCTACTGCCAGGCTCTATCTCTATCCTGTGYTGGATGGGTCGCGACACTACTCCTGTCGGCGACTCAGTCAAGTCTTTGAATTCTTCCAGCAGCTCGGCAATTGTTGGATCTGTGGAGCTATCCTTTTCTTGGGCCTCAGTGACAGGTCTAACATAAACCACAAAGACCTGGTCTTCTAACTGCTCCTTTTCTACTAATCGCGCGAACGCGGGAGCACTGAGACAGCAATGTGCCAAGGTGTTGTCTACACCCGACACATGGAACAAGCGGGCAATCTTAACTTCGCCTCCCAGGCTAGGGAGCCTACACTCATGCTCYCTCAAATGAAGTGTGGCCCCTGCTGCCTCTCCCCAATCCATTCCCAATACTATATCAAAAGGAAGGTCATCTTGTACGAGGAGAGTCAGGGAATGGAGAACTTTCTCCACCTTCCCATCCTTCTCTAGGCGAAAGTACGCCTGGACTCCCTCCACGTAGTCTTCAACTCGCATCGTGCGGTTGTCTGCGAGGACACTGACTATGGGGTCTACTAACTTCTGGACTTTTACTCCTAGCCTCAGCTTCTTCAGCGCCCTACGGCTAATGTAACTACGGGTAGCCCCTAAGTCTATAAGGGCCCCTACTCTACTTCTAAACACCTCTACATCTACCAAAATCAGCTACCCTTACTCTCCCTTTTCATTTTGGCCCAGGCGGGCATCCTTTCCTTTAACTCTTCTGCCACACCTGTGAGGGACGTGCCTAAAGAGACGCTAACACAAGCAGCCTCTGGACAGCTATCTAGGCACGGGCCTGCAACCTCTGCCATAGGCTAATGTGGGTTGGGAGTGTCCTGTTCGCGCGCGCTCACTTCTCCACATGGCCTGGAAGTAGGGGCAGTTGCGACCCCTACTGGCGGTTGCCTTTTGACTGTTGAGCAGCCCAACGGGTCTATCTATACTTTGGACAAAATTTAATTATGTGCGCCGGGTCACCACAGAATACGCATTGACCCATGTTCACGCGTTCCTGCCATAATCGTTGGTCCAAGCCCAAGTCTTCCCAGGGCCTGCCCTGCGGCAAGCCTGGGTGCCATCCTCCTTGAGGTGCCCTTCCACCTCGCTGTCGGGACCGGTTACCCTGGCGATTTAACGGGGGACCTTGACCCCTACCTCCCGCTTGGCGGTTTCCCTGTCCGCCAACCCCCTGTGCGCCCGGTCCTCGGCCTCCCATGACCTGACCCCTTTGGCCCTGGCCTCCTCCTCTACCTTGCGGCCTCCCTCCGGCCGCGACAACAGCGTAAGACCTCCCCTGCCCTACACAACTGTACTCCTCCCCTAGGCCCCACTCAATCTGATCATATGGGACCTCTTCTGTACCACGCTCCTCTAATGCCAGGATCAAGTGATCCTTGGCCTTGACTTGGCCTGAGATGGTACGACCTTTCCACTTCTTCCCCTTCTCCAGGTCCTTATGCCAGAAAGTGGAAACTGGCATAGACTTCGACTCATACAGGACGACTTCTCTACTCAATGCATCGTAAGTCATGCCGGCCCGCTGGGATTTGTCAAAGAAATGCCGCGTAGGGCCTATGGGATGGCACGATATAACAACTAGACCAACTGGGGCTCAGTGACCCCGTGGTCCGGGACGGCTACCAAGTCGTCCATGGTACCCTTGAGTGCCTTGGCACTCCCCCACTGTCGGGAGTGGATCGTTTGGAGCTTATCAGAGGCTCTAATGCCTCGCGTTGGGTCAGCGAACCGCTCCTTGAGGAGCTTGAGGAATTGGGAAAGAGGAGTGACTTTGGAATATGCAACCAGGTTGTTTTCACAACCGGCTGTACGCGCAAGAGACCTAGCGAAACTAGCCGCGTCATCTTTGAGGGCCTAAAAGGCCACGAGGACTTGTTCCTCCATTAGGATATGCTACAGATAAATATAACTATTGACATTGGCTTCCTTGTTGTCAAAGTTTTCTTCCTTCTTTCCCCCGTAGGCATCTGGAAACTTGAGTTTTACTGGGTCCTTACGGGGTCTGGCCTCTTCCTCAGCGGCTACAACTTTGGCACCCTGAATGGCGCCCTCACAAAACTTCCCTACATTATCTCTCAATTGCTTCACTTCGCCCCCAATATGGGTAACGATCTCGCGCGCAAAGTCTCTAAACCCTGACGGCATGGCACTCAAGGCTACATCCTGGCTCCAGCTGGCCTGGCGCTCTTCCATCCAAGCCTTGCTCAACACCTCCAGGTACCCTAGTACTTTGTCCCACTTGGCCTTATCATCTGGCTGGGCCGGCACCTCCGCTCTACACTCCGGCACCTTGCCACTGCTGCGGTCATCTTATTCACTTCCTCTCTCCTCCTCTTCTTCTCCCTCTTCATTCTCAACTTCCATGCTAACTTTTGCTCGTCTTCCCTCTCTCTTCGTTCCATCGGGT